AAAAAAAAAAAGAAACAGAAACCACTAGCAGAGGTGACAGGCCAGCTTCCTTCTCACTGGACAGTTTTTGTTTTGTTTTGTTTTGTTTTGTTTTCACTAGACAGTTTGAGTCCATTTCAAAGGGGGTAGATGAGAAATGGCCCCTTTCCTCCTCCTACCCCAGCCCCATGGGGCTAGTGTAAAATGGGCTGTTTCAGTCACATGCCAACTAGGTCCCCTGAGGCCTGGACAGGCTAGGTCACCAAGTCACACAGCCACTGTTAACCCTGCCCAGAAAAGAAAACATGAGGTTCAGCTCTTTACTATCTGCATGAGCGGGGAGAGTCATCTGACCTCACTGTGTGTCAGTCTCCTTGTCCACTAAATGCGGACAGTAACCATCCCTGACTCACAGGGCTGGCATAAGGATCCAGTGAGCTACTGTGCCTAGTGCAAGGCGGTGCACCTGAGCACTGGCTGAATGCCAGGGACTCAGTGAACACTGGAGACTAGCACAGCCATGGCCTGCCTTGTCCCTCCCAGACTAACCACGTGGGGAAGCACAGCTCCACAAGAAGGGCTGGAAACAGATGTCCTCCCTGTGTAGCTCAATTCTGAGGGGAGGACCTGTTGGGAATGACAGCTGAGCTTTTCCAGGTCTTCCCATGCTTTGCCACCAAGCCTCACAACAACTTTCCCATATCACAGAGGAAACAGAGCCTGGAGAAGGGAAGGGATTCCAGAGGTGGCCGTCACTTCCAGACACTGCTGCTCACAGGAGCAGCACCTGGGAGTGGTGGTAGGAATCCTCAGGTGAGCTGTGGGGGAAGGGGATGTGGGCACAGTTCTCCTTCCCCACCCAGTCATGAGCCATCCTCCTGAGCCCAGCCCTGTCCATGTATAGGGCACCCTCATCCCCAACACCAGAGCCTCTAAAGCTGGAAAGCATTTCAGGGATTGACATACCCTTCAGACAGCTTGGGTGTCCCTCTTGGCTTGGGGACAGGCGGTTCATGTAGTCTTCCTAGATGGGAAAAGAAAGTGAGCCAGGCCTTCATGGGCAGCAGAGATGGGCACCTAGGCAGCCAGCCACACAGCCTGCCTCACCAAGGACTGCCCTTCCTTCCCACCTGCCAGGCCATGGCCACCTCACCCATGCCCTTGTGCCTCCCCAGCCCAGCTTCACTAAGATTAGATAAGCACTAAAGGTGGCTGAGAATAGTCAGGGGTCAAGGCCAGGACACTGGAGACCCCATCTGTGTTTTAATGAAGAAGGAGGAACCCAAGTCCCCTCAGACACTTCCCCAACAAGGACAAGAAACATTGTCTCAGCTCATCCCAGATGTCACCTCCTCCTGGAAGCACCCCCTGACCCCAAGTGTCCTCCATGAATAGCACAATGGCCCTGCTCCCTCCCCTCCATCTCACCAGGATGGCTGCATTACAGAAGCCCCTGTCTGTACCTGTCTCCCCCTCCACACTGTGGGTACCTTGAAGGTACAAATAGGTCTGAGCAGTATCTGTGGCCATCTCAGGACTAGGCTCAGAGCCAGCCTCCAGGAGGGCTGAACAGAATCGAACACACAGAATGTTCTGGTACAAGTCCTAGGGCGACCCTGGGAGTCTCCCCCTACCCCACACCGTACCCTCCAGTGCCTTTTCTGACAGGATGCTAAGGGCTGCCCAAGCACACTTCAGTTTACAAGCAGCCTCGTTTCCATGAGCTCATGGAAATACAAGGAGGTCATTTGGGACTGTCCTAAGATGAGGGGTAGGGGAGACGGTGGTCATAGAGAATACAGCAGGGATCTCCAATGCAGCTCAGACTAACTCAGGGCCCACTTGACTCCTCTGCCCCCGCCAGCCCCTAAGCCTTCCCCTGCCAGACATGGACAAGCATGCAGGCTGGGGGCGGAGGCCAGGACACACCAGAAGGTCACCAATGTGTACAGAGTCCCAGAGACACTGGGGAGACACAGGCACACATGGATGTACACTCACTAGACACCCTGAAACTGAAGCCTACAGATGCACACTAAAGCACACACACACACAGAGTGAGGCAACTCAGAGGCCGGGATCTAAATCTGTTTTGTCTGTGCGGTTTCAGCAGCAATAGCAGAGCTTGGCACAGAGAGGCACGCGGTAACTTAATATTTGCCACAAGAATTAATAATCTTAGAAATACAGGTAAGGCCTAGGACAGCACAGTATGCAGAGGACAAACAGATAGCAGCGCTTGAATACTCCCAGACACACGGACACTCTCACCCAGCACCCTGACCCCTAGCTGGACCCTGGCTCACCATTCACCAGGCCGCTGTTGCCAGCCTGCTCCCCCAAGTTCTCTTGCTGTAGACTGGAGCGGGGCCGGGGTGTGGGGGGCGCTGGGGCTGCACTCTCAATGGCCTTCCTGGGGGCAGGTGTGGGCCGGCCAGCTGGGGGGCTGGCTAGCTCCGGTGGTTTGTCAGGAACCCGGGGCTTCATGGGGATCTGGGGCCGGGCCTCAGGGCTGCCTTTGGGTCCATCTTCCTCAGCCCCTGCAGCCACAGTGGGGCTGGGGCTGCCTTCTAGGACATCTTTGGCTGTTTCTGCAAGTTGCTGCTGGTGTTGCTGCTTTGGCTGTGAGAGGGGCCCTAGCCTGGCTCCTGACCTTGTCCCTGGGCCCAGCCTGGCACAGTGTTCTGCACACACAAAGGTGCCCTCCTCAGGCCCACTCCTGTAAGACCCAGGAACCAGGGTGCTGGAGCACTGCTGACACCTGCCAGGGGACAGGACAAAGGTTCACTTAGCCAACCAGCCCCGCACCCAGCACTGACTATCCCTGCGCCAGCAGCCAACTGCCACCCCAGATCCTGGCTCAATACCCTGGACTTCCCAGAGGAAAAAGAAAATGGTAACTGTCAGAAACAGAGTGGAACAAGATCACATGAAATCAGCAACAGAAATTATGAAACATGACTTTAGTTTATCCTGCAAGAGGAAGAAGCAAAAGTTCCCCCTAAGAGGTACCACCAATGGACAGCTGCCACCTATCAGTGGCTCAGTAAATTAATTAAGTGGTTTCCAACCAACCAGATGTTTGTTTTAATGAAATAAAATATAATATATTAGATTGCATCATACAAGTAAAGACAAACACTGTTTTGTGAAACTTATTCCAGTTGTGTATCTATTTCGACAAGTTTCATTTCAGATAATTATTTCTATCATGTCACAGTGTCAGATGCATTTTCTACTGGGAGCCACTGCCCTGGTGACCAGATGTGACTGTATCAGTGTAACCTCTTTCCCCTCCCCCAGACTTTTTCCCCATGACACCTCAATTCTGCAAGGAGGGTCATGGGATTCTGGCTCCAGCTGCCCCCCCTACCCTGCCCCCAGACACATTCTCAACCAGGTCAAATTCATGGTGTGACTCAGTTGTTGGCTTCCCTTCACTGTTCAATTTTTTTTCCTGGTTTTTTTTTTTTAAGACCTGAGGAACAGGAAGTATGGTTTCTTTTTTGTAAAATATAAAATATTTTCATAAACTTCCTAAATTTTGGTATTTCACATGCCTTTTATACTGCTTTCTTAAAACCTGGCTTCCCCTGGGAGCCACATACCTAAAACAATCTGTTATTGTAATTTTGTTTTAATTCAAGCCAGGCATGGTGGCATGTGCCTGGAGTCCCAACTACACCTGAGGTAGGCTCGGCGCCTGTGGCTCAAGTGGCGAAGGCGCCAGCCATGTACACC